AACTTGTCCAGCAAGGGTTAAACCCTAATTAGTTGTCTATATATATGATCTCCTGTACTTGTAATCATTATCACTCAATAATACAAACCCTAGTTGCCCCTGTGGATGTAGGTCAGATTAGACCGAACCACGTTAAATCTCGTGTTCTCTATTGCTTTCTTGCTTTCTATTCGTGTGTGTGTGCTTTTGTTCTTAACAAGTCCAAATTCATGAGCTTGTATAAGCAATTGCACTGTTTCCCGTGCACTCACTAGCACGCACAACATGGGGAAATGTGCAAGACGAATTTCACTAGTACATATTAGCTCAGTTAAGTTTTTGAATATGAGAATACCCCATTCCATCCGGACACATTCTCTCATTAGTGTAGAAGCCTTCCTTGAATTCACTCTCCAAACTAGCAGATAGGCTGCTCTCCCTCAAAACTTAATGAGTGGGTTTACGAATCTCTTATTAGTAACCACTCAAGCATATGCTTGTGGAGTGAAATAATCCCGAAATTCAAAGTCAAGTGAACTTCTAATATGCATATTAAAAAACCGTTTTACACATTTCACTATATGATACGGAGTATAAAAAGACACTTTCTAATATTGAGCTTTTGTGAAAGAGTACAAAAGCTTATAACCACAAGAGAGGATGACTTTCCAATCAATCTCCTAATAATTTACTATGTATTTAGCAAGATGATCACCTCTGGTTCTCTAACATTGCCGAGCAGGTATTCATAGAGCTGTGGAGTGACACTTATGACCTGTTTGCCACCATAATTTACATTGTCAGACACAACTGTATAGGTTTCGCGTTTCCCTGCCCGAATCCTATGGTTAGGCACTGCAGTCGTGACAGATGCACGCCTCTTGATAGGAAACAATCCTGCAAATCCATTGGTGAGGGAATGGACACGGCAGGAGTTCAGTCCAATTCGAGGTCCGAATATAAAGCAATGGTTTTTGAAAATGTGAGCCGGCAACCAGATTGACATTAGAGAATCGATCAATGGAGCGAAATCCCGTTGGAAGTATATAATCTGCAAGCATGTTATTCTTATGGTTCCAAACGATGTGTGGTATCAGAAATTAAAGTTGATGCTACAAAAGGAGTGCGGAGAATTCAAAATACTGACATGGGCCTTTGTTGGTTGGGAGCTTCTCCTGTTTAGAACCGGTGCTCCGATTACGGAGTGATGGAGAAAGTGGCGGCGGATATGGGCAGGAATTCAATGAGCGGCGGCGGATATGTGCAAGAATGCAATGAGCGGCGGCGGAGATGGCTGAGACAAATCGGACTGGATTTTCTGGGCGGGTGAGACCAAAGCAAGCAGCGGGTTAGGGTGCTGTGGAATAGGGTTTGTTTAAATTTTGAATAGGGTGTGCCTGCAGCTTGCCTATATGCTCCCTCCTTTTTAAATAAATACTCATACATTTGTAAAATTGATTATTCCTATATTCCGGTAGACCAAACATATCCTGCCCCGACCAAACATATGCTCCCCCCTTTAATTGTACCCCTAAATTAATTTTGATTTTGAATAAAATTTTGACTTAATCAAAATTAACTTGGGTGATGGGTGCAATTGAGTAAATGAGTAAAAAGACTAAAATAAAAGTAATCCGTGAAACATTAAAAATAATTACTACTTCGTATATGATAATGTAAATTATCGACCGGTATATCGTTTTTAGCCTGGCAAAAACGATAAACTAGTCTAAAAAATACACCAAAATATAAACACGGGGATTTTTACGTGGAAACCCAAATCGGGAGAAAACCACGGGCCTTTTTTGGTAGTACTTTGCCAACGGGAGATTTTTATTAATATCGGGGGTGTGTACACGGTACATGATTTAGGTGTAAAAGTCATTAATGGAGCATTTGAGCTCTTTGAAGAAGTAAAGTACAAAAATATTCTAGAGAGAGAGAGAGTAAATGGGTAGGGAAGGAGTTTGATTGGCCTCCTTTTCTTGGTGGAATACCTCTCCTTTTATAGGAGGAAAGGAGAACATCTTCAGAGGAATATTCTCTTATTCTTTCATTTTACGAACAGGCTATTCTTCATAAATAATTGCGAAATGTGGACTGGGCCACGTATTATTTGCCATCACTGTAAATATAAGTTTTATGTTTTTATTTTTAAACTAGCAGTTAAATTACATTTATATTATCAATCATTACTATATACATTATTAAAAAAATATTATAAAATGTTTATCTAAAGTACCACATTATTATAGTTTGAACTATTTTAGAAATAAAAACATTAATGTACTATTTTGATACTTTATTATTTTTACTCCAAATCTATGTAGGGTGATTTCTTTTAAATGAACAATTTCAAAATTTGGTATGTATCTAAATTTTAATTTTTATATTTTTAAGGTTAAAAATTATCAATTTCATCATGATAGATTTTTTTTTGTCAAATAACAATGTGTTTTTAATCATTATAAACAAACTTGTCTAAGCATAACACAAATACATTGTAGAGTCATTCTAGAATTAGTTTTAAAATAAAGAGTTTTATACTTAGTTTTTTATTGCCAGCCATTGCGTTTGTGTTGTTGTGTTAATGATAGGGGTGGACACAGTTTCAGTTCTGAACATATACCAGTACCGGTGATTCTGGAAAATGTGCTAGCGACGGAGACGCGACGGCAAGTAAGAGAACTGACGCCAGAACCGGAGGACACGGGTCCAGTTCCGGGTGGTAGGGTGGCGATCCTAGAACTACCTATTCCAATTCGGTTCCAATTCCAATTTTTTTTATTTGTATTTGATTAGTTAGGCCCACGGCTCACCACTAAATTAAAGCCAAGAGGTTGGGTAGACCCGATGGCATTTAGTCATTTGGAGCCGCTGGGACTAGGAGAGGGGTGGGGGTGAGCGTTATTTTTTCTATAAAACTCTTTTTAAAAAATACATACTACTTAAACTTTCTTATTTCTTTCAACTACGCCGTACATCCAATTTCTTCTAAAATCTAACAACGACTTAAAAAGTATTTTGTATTATTATATGCGATGAGCATACACTGACATTAAATATTCAAAATTACAATATCACTTCAAACACGTAAAGTAATGAATAATTTTTTATCCAAATGTAAAGTTTTCTTAGATATTTATTAGGGTTATAATTTAATTGAGTGATTTTTCAACACTTTAATTTTTCTAAATTTTTCTAACTCATTCAAAAAAAAATTCAATCTTTTGAGTTTCTTCTAATGTGGAATTTTAAAATTCCAAACCAAAAGAATATAGCATGGGACTAAACTAGAGGTTATTTTTGGAGAAGTAATTTTCTTTCTTGAAAAAACGACCGCCTTTTAATCCTTGTGTAGCCTTGAGAAAATGCAGGGGTTTTGGAAAGTTGGCCGTCTGGTTAGGGTTCCACGAGACAGATCTTCAGTCCTGTTCAATACCGAACAACTTCGTGCCGTTGATGTTTCTTGTTTCTCGCTGCAATGGCGCTACTCTCACAGGAATCTGGTTTCCTCATCCTGCTCAGGTTTGGTTTCTCATGTTTACTTTTGTTGCTATAATGCTACCTGATTGGTAAAATTTCAGTGAGTCACATTGGTTGTTAAATCGAAAGTATAAACTGGAGTGCAATTGGAAGGAAAAAAATGCAGATATTTGTTGGGGATTTTATTTGCAAATGGTCATTCTGTTCGCTGTCTCGATACTGTTTTACTATAGTCTTGGTTTAAATCCAATAAAAGGCTTATTTGTTTAGAAATGAATTTAAATATAAAAGTTAGTATACTGAAAGGAACAATAAGTGTGTTGCTTAAATCTGGAAATTAACTTCATATTAAACCACATGTAATAGATAAATACTATGTTTTCCTTTTCTTGTTTATGGCTCACATCTCACAATAACTATTCTCTGTTTAATTCATTCTCTGCAGCCTGTAGTCACATTTTTCTTTCATTATATTCTATAGAGCATCCATCTCAAAAGAATTAGTATTAAGAGAAGAAATACCACATACTAAAAAATAAGAAAGCTTTTATTGACAGTGGAAGAACAAATAAGAGCTTCCTAGGAGACCTTCTAGCAACATAACATGCCCAACAGGATTATTCTACACAATAGCTACGGCTGCTATGCTATTCCTATTCAAAACCCTTCACCATTCTTTCTCTGAAGGGAGTTCTATTATTAATCTTAAAACATCAAAAATGAAGGCTATTAATAAATTAAATATCATTAAAGGTTTGGTAAGATATCTAAAATTTTGATAATAAGATCTAAAATCCATGCTAATGATATCTTCAATTTGCTCCCTAATTCATGTGAATAACTTTCATCGTTTGGTATCATTACCACCCACTCCTTAGCAACCTTGTCCCCACAGCGGGAGGTTTGTGGTTTGCCATAGTGGCTGGTCGGACATATTTGATAGAGAGTAAAGAGTAGAAATGCCATATCCTAAGAAATACAAATGCTTGTATTGCCGGTGGAAAGAAATTGAAATGCAAAAGAACGTCAAAATGGGTTCAATATCTTTGCTATTCCTAACCAGAATTCTCTTCTCTTCCTCATAGATGGGTTCTATTTATAGTCATAAAACATAAATTACATAAGGTATGCAATAAAGTAGTAAATATCAACCAGAGAATTATTATATACCTAAAGTTGCACTCTGGAGATCCAGAGTTTATGCTGATGAGATCCCCAAATCGCCCCTAATTTCTCTGACTATCTTTCCTTTTCTATCAAAATATATGGTGCAATAAGATTTACTAAAGTTGGCATTGTGGAACAAACAGCTTTGTATGGGAATCCAATGCAAATGGAATCAAAATGCCAAAGAGTGGTGTAATCTTTGAAATGCCATGTGCTGCAGAGGTCGTCATATTCTTCTAAAGCAATTGATGTTGGAAGTGGCTCTACAGGTAATAATTGTGTCATAAATGGTTTTAAGTTTTTTTTTTGTTTTTGTTTTTTTGTTGAAGAATAGTTGGTTTAGGTCATTCAGCTGATTGCTAGTAGTGTTCCAAATGCAGAAACTGTGAAGGAAATATATGAAAAGATTCTGAAATCTATTGTGGATCAAAAGACGGCTCCTCCAAATGCTTATTTATGGTCACTAATTGCAAAATGTGCAAACCAAGATGACATTAAGCTCCTATTTGACATCTTGCAGAGACTTCGAATATTTGTTAGTTACTCTTTCATTACCTGTCGTTTGACTGGTGCCTCTACCTTCGGGTCCAATTGACTGTTCAATACTATGTTCATGCAGAGACTTTCAAATCTTCGTATCCATGAAAATTTCAATTGTGCACTCTGCCAGGAAGTTACCAAGGCATGCATACGTGTTGGCGCCATTACGTTTGGTATGAATATCTGCATGTAAAGTTATGCCTTTAGCCATGAACTTAAGGGCTCTGTTTGAACTTTGAAGACAATTTTCTAGAAGTGTCATGTCTAACCTTGTATTGTGCAGGTAAAAGAGTATTGTATAAGCACAATCTCTATGGGTTAACTCCTAATGTTGGATCTGCTCACCAATTGTTGGTATATACAGACATTTGCTTCTATGATGTTTCATATTATATGTGAATTAAGTAAAATATAAATTATCTACAAATAGCTCAAGCTATGTAGTTTGAATGTACGTACATATGCAGACACATTTATATAATTATTTATTCATTTATTTAATGTGAGTGCAGCATTAAAAAAAAGTGCAAATTTCTTATTTATCCATACATAGTTAGATTTGGTTTACGTGACTGCAGGTGTTTGCTAAAGAGCATAATGATGTTGATCTAATGGTCGATATTATGAAACTTGTGTTGAAGAATGAATTACCTCTACAGCCAGGGACAGCAGATTTGGTTTTTAGGTACATAACAATAATTCATATTTCCAACCTCCATGCACATCTTTCCCATTCTTCTGGTGCTCAAAGCTCATCTATATTTCTTTTTATAGTTCCAAAGGTGCCCATTTTTTGAATTTTTTGATGTGAATGGACTTTGCTAAATTTATACCTCTCCATTTGTTATGTGTAAAGCAAAATGAAAGTGGAACATATTTAGTTACAAAGAATGCTCAAGACTCATAGTTTCCCCTGTTGAATATGGCTATTTGCAGCATTTGCTACCACAACGATAACTGGGAGTTAATGTGTAAATATGGAAAAATGTTTGCCAAGGGAGGTGCTAGGTTACGTCAGGGTTCCTTTGACTTGTGGATGGAATTTGCTGCTAAAATGGGTACTTGCAACCTCAATGCATATAATTTTCCAGTCTAATGCTTAAAGAATGTAGTAAAAATGTGTACATTCTTGTGCATCTTTCATTGATATAATGAATATCTTTATTGTCCTCTGTAGGAGATGTCGATTCACTTTGGAAAATTGAGAAAATAAGATCAGAATCCATGAATCATCACACTATTTCGAGTGCCTTTTCATGTGCTAAAGTAATTGCTTATCCACCATCATCCCTAATCCAACTTGTATCATATGTCCTCTCTACATGCTTCCTCTTCTTTTTTTACCCATTTTCTGAAAAGATATGTAAATAAATTGCTTCAGAAGTGCACACACACCTATTATGTATTTCACAGGCTTTGTTGATTGAATGCAAATCTGAAGAAGCTGCTGCTATCATTCAAGTATTTTATGAGGTAGCTAAATAGTAAATACAATCTGAATGGTTTTAGGTAGTGTTTGGCAACTAGCATTTCATTTCAATTCATGCATTTCAATTCCAAAATTTGAAATCCTGAATTTCAAATGACAAGGGGAGGTGCATGGATTTCAAATTAAGCTTTGTTTTGAATGTAAAGAATTTGATTCAAATCCAAATTTAAAATGCTTAAGTTTTCCAAACATGGAATTTAAGCCAAATCTGGATTTGAAATCCAAATCCATGTTCCCAAACATACCATTAAGGAAATCTGTCTCTTCTTGTTCTGCTCAATCTTCTCAATTTTTTTCAACATATTTCCCTGTAACTGAATGTGAACAGTATTTTTTTGTCGTTGCTAATCTCATCATTCATTTTTTTCCCTAACATATTCTTACAATGCTGTATGCACATATCAGAATTTACCTGTCTCTAAGAGGCAAAGCATTACAGCAGAACTTCAGAAGCTGGTAAATGAGTGGCCTATAGAAGTTATAAAGCGTCAAAAGGAGGAGAGCAGAAAGGTAAACCTGCTTAATAATGTGTTTTCTTTGAGCAGATTTGGCAAATGTGGTCTCATGGAAATGCCATTTTGTTCTGGTGTCCTCCAGGAATTGGCGAGAACTCTACAAAATGGTATTTCAGCCATGATCAACGCACTCTCAAGCATAGGCGCAAAAATGGATGTTAATGTGGAAAATGTGACCATAGGTGTGTAGAACTAATTACAGTAGAGGAAGACTTCCAAATGGGATGGTGGAGAAGTGGCAGCTACTCAGAAGTGTATCCTCTTTGGTGTCTATATGTGACAACATTTGTCATTGTTAATTTTTTTATTAGAGGCTTTTTATGAACCAGACAAGCTTCTTAGCTTGACTTTTTTTGAGTAAGCAAATTTTGATTATTAATTATGTTAAATTTATATTTGATAAAATGAGATAAATTATTGAAAATCAATATCCTTTGAATGAACAGAAGAAGTTACTGAAAATTACTTTTCCATAAAGAACCTCGCATTTAGTCCTTTTACTTGCAATTTGCTTACTGCCACCATCTTTCATTCCTTGGAGTAACTTTGGTACTATGCACTCCATATTACTGCGTTTTGACTTTTTTAGTCGATGTTTTTTTTACTTTAACAACAATTTTTGAAAGGGTGTTACTAAATTCACCCTTTTTTTACTAAATCAACTCCCTTTATATGAAAGGGACAATTTTGTCTTTAAATGGCAAGTTGCATCTAAATATCTTCTTTTGTACTTTTAAGGGCAAAATGACTATTTGTTATAAATGGAGTGGATATAGTAACTCTATTTGAATACGGAGTATATTTTTTAGTCCACGCATTATTAAAAGAAAAGTCCAAGGGGAATTTGAAAATTAACTTTGAATATGATACAAAAAGTATTTTATAAAGAGCATTGAAAATAACTTTAATTAAATATCGTAAATCGAAACAGACGATTTAAATTGGAATGGATGTAGTATTGAGATGATAATTTTCAATTTACTTTAATTAAATTTTGAAGGAAAAAAACTACCAACGCTAGCCTCAACTATCTCTAATATTAAAAGGATAACAACATCAGCACTTGTGTTATACGGAGTAAGTTACATGTAACAATTTCAATAACAATGGCAAATTTACCAATAATATTGAAATGTTTTATTAACATTAAACAGAAAATTAAAACATAGTATTATATAAGCTCCCACTCTGAATCAAGAAAATCACTGTCGGGCACCACCAGAGCAGGCACAACTTGTTGCTCCTCATTTGAAGAAGATAAAGCTTCCTCATGCTGTGCTGACAGATGTTCATACTCCCATTTTGTTGATCTCTTTTTTGAAGAAAATGCTTCCAAAATCTTTTTCTGTTTTAAAAAATGAAAGCAAATAACAAAACATTAGAACCATGTGGTTAGTAAGTAACACTTGCCGCTCCCCGTGAGATCGCGCCGTGGTGAATCTTTTAGCAACATGGTCAAATCTCTCTACCCTTTAGCAGCCAAAGTTTTAGTGGCTGGGTTATTTAAAGAACATCAAACCCAGTAAAATTCCAAAAAAAAAATAAAAGATTTGAGAAGGGTGTGTACGCAGACATTACCTCTACTTGGAAGTAGAGACACAAAATTTTGTCTAATGACTACAAACAAGGAGAGATGGTACCTTGTACGAGTTACGTTTGGATAGTTGTTGTGGTAAGCGGAGCTCATCAATGAGTCCAACTATTTCTACCTCTTCATCAATCACGTCACACTTATCCACAACATTGGTGTTGAACAGTTCTGATTTTTCTGTCAAAAGTAAGAAAAGCAGAGAGGTTTAGCTTTGTACGCTATTGGAAAATGCACATGCAACAGGTAAAAGGTGGTTGCTAAACCTGAAACTCACAAATGAGAACATTATAATGCACATATAACATAAACGTAATTTCAAGCCAATAGTTATTATTTAGCTGAAATTAACGAAAATGCTACTTGAACCTTCACCTATAGATATTATTTGCATTAATTTATGGTCGAAAAATATAATAATTCAGCCAGTTCAGCCACAAATTCAGCAAATCAAACCACCTTGGCAATATTAGGCCTTGCCAAACAGGCTCTTAATGTCACATAAATGGGTGAGACTGCCGAAAAAATGAAGGGAAAATAAAAAAGATGCCTCTAATCACTCTGCCTAAATTCCATATATGAAATAAGCTCACCACCAGATTCTCTGCTGATAGTGTTGGTGTTGCCTTCCGAATCGGTCTGTTGAGCACTATCATCATTTATATGAGTCCCCTCTGGCCCAACACGAATCAAAGGGAGAAAAACAGAAGTAAGAACAATATGGTAAATAATTGGCAATTTAAATTACTTTCATGTTACAAACTTTTTATGTTAAAGTTTTATACCACTTGATTCTGTTGATAAGCCATCAGAAGAAGAATTGCCTTCCACCAGAAGCCTTGGAGATTCAAATGGTGCAAAATCTGTTGAGCTGCTAATATCTGGTAAATTATCGGAATTTTCCAAGGTTGTCTCATTAGGACAATCAGAAAGTTGTTGCTTATGCTCAGCCAGTTCATCTGATAAGGTCGTGTCACACGTTGAATCTGACATATCTTTGCATGTTCTATTTGATGTCTCTGGGATGTCCGGTTCTATATCTTGGGCTATAGATACACTTTCTCTATTGTCACGGATTGAAGATGCGGATTCTTCTGAGAGCGGTTCAAGAATTAAATCTTGCATCACTTCTTCATAGAACTTCTTGACACTTGCACCAACTGTTTCTACTTGACTCTGAACAAATTTACGAGTGTCCTGAACAGAAGTAATAGCAATACAATGTTCAAAGACCATTGGATCACATTTACATGGCAATTGACACAAGACGAAAAACATACAAAGATGAAAGGCATAGGCTTCACTGGACACATACCTCTTTAACTTCCAAGTACACAACTTCACATTTATAGAGTATGTTTTCAATCCAAGATACAGTCTCGACCCTCGAATCCGGATGGTCTGCTGAACCAGACATGATTCAATGGGATAAAATGCACACCTGCGTTGATCAAGTGTGTTAATTCAATGCCAATGTTAAACAACAAAAGAAACACAAAAACTTCGGGTACTCACAGCAGTAATGTTGTTCTAAAAATCTATAAAAAAGTTAGCCTCATGATTAAATTGGTTGTTCGAAAAGCTGGTTGCCTTCTAACAGGTAGAATCAATCTAATGTCTATATATATGTGTTGAATTATACTCCGTATTTTTTTTTATGTTGGATGAAATTGATACTACCTCTGTCCGAGAGTATTTCTATGATTTGACTCGTTCAAATCAGTTTGAACAAACTTTGATCATCAATTAAATAAAAAATTTAGTACAAAAAACATAAGATTTATCTTACATATTAACTTTATTAATATGGAACACAAATTTGATGTAATTTATGAATAAAGCCAGCTTAACTCAAAATTTTATGAAACTCTGAACCAGAATAGTTTGCATAAACAATTTTCGAAAAGCAATTCTTCGATCAAAGATAGCCATGGCATAGAAAACTAAAGCAAAAGCAAACGATTTCTAGAGAAAATCATAAGGAAAATAATGCGTTTAAACTTACAGCTCAACAGAGAAACAGAAGAAGCTGAAAACGGCTGAAAGGCGGAGGGCTTCTAAGGGTTTTAGAAGGATTCTAGAAGATGAAGGATTTCAAATACTCCGTATATAATATGGTGTTTATAGTTGATACACATCCTAATGGAATTGGGAGAAGGAAACAGAATTTGGCGAGTATTATTGTCATCAAAATTACTCTACTTGCCACTCCATTCTCGTTCCAACTTCTAATAAAAATCACCAAATATCACTAATTACCTAACAAATATTCTTTTTTTTCGAAATATAAAAATTCATACTCGGTTTTATATTTTGTATCTCTATCATATTTTTTAAAAATAGTTTATTTAAATAACTATGTTTTAAAATATACAGAGTAAATTAGTGTTTAAATATATAACAGTATGGTTTTATAAGATATTTGTATGTAGAGTGCTTCTTTGGTGGACCCTGGGTGCATATTATTTCTGTAAACCTTCTCTCGTAAAAAAAACTTTTTTTTTATTTTTTTTATTTACAAAAAAAATACTTATTTAAAAATTAAAAGAATACTAATTTATGCTTATATGTATGTCCACCATAGAATTTGCCGATACTCCCTAGATTTTTAGCAGCGTCATTCCCATAATTTTAGAAGTAAAATTTTGTAATGAATTATAGACAAAAATGGTAGTGCTTTTTCATAAAACAAATTTTACAGTGTCGTTTCCACAATTTTTATTATTTCTTTTAGTACCGTTTTGAAAAAAAAGGGACTGTTGTTTCAGAAAAGATTGTAGTACCATTTTCACAATTCTAGTAGTGAAGTTTGGGATACAAAATTTTATAGTGATTTAACAATAACACTTTTAGAGTGTTGTTTTGGAAAAAATTGTACAATGAGTTATAAAAAAATTGTATTGCTATTTTGAAAAAAAATACTCATACCAAACAGCTATGTGTTACTCCCGGAAAATGCTAGGGGCACACCAAAAGTTTGATCTGATCTGAATGTAATTAAATTTAAAGCTATTTTTTATCTAATCTTGTCTATTCTAATTCCAATAAGAATAAATAAAAAATAAAAAATTAAATTGAGGAGAACATGACCTAAAGAGTTGGTGTTATAATTTTTTTGGCACAAAGTTTTTTATGGTACAAAATTGGTGTTATACTCATATCATTATTTTTTAAAAACATAATAGTCATCTTTCAGAAAAACTTATACCTCATGCATCCCACATAAAACCACTCTTTTTTCATTCCTCTAAAAAAAACTTCACATTGTTTCTCCCCCGTATTAACTTTTAAAGACACATAAATGAGTGACTCACAATCATTTTCTCTCGTCTAGACAGATTTGAACAATAAATTTTATATTTTTTAAACAACGTGAAAATCAAATAAAGAAACTTTTTTAAACCCAAGAGAAGAAAAAAACTCCATACAAGGCATTGAATTTCATACCAAGTAACAACATCAACATCAGATATTAGTTTAAACAAGAAATGCTTTCTGCCAACACATGATATTATGTACTCTCCCTCTCTCTGTATGTATAAGGCACTCCGCAAATTTGAATAGCTTTAAACATTTCAATACAATATTATTACCCAGCTGCTTGAAAATCACCAAAATCATCGTCTTCAACAACCGGTGGTTTAATGCTTTCAGTTTCAGGCGTCCCTGATTGACACTCAATGGTCCTGGCTGCTGAAATCTGGTCAAGACTTAACTTGTGCGGCGACCCGGTGGGAGAATTCTCCGCGGTAGCAATGGGTGTTGGAGGTGGGGGTGGGGGTTTGAGTAAAACCGGGCTTTCTTTTTGGTTGCCTTTTTCCTCCAACGACAGATTGTTCAATCCTTGTTCAAAGAACTTTGACTTTATCCCACCACTTCCAACTTTCTGTTATCATCAAAAAGAAGAATAGATGAAGAGTGTTAGAGTATAAGCGTTTCCCTAGGCTTACAATCACAAGTTTGAACTTTTGGTCGAGTTAGTTCTTTGATATAATATCAGAACCTTGTTGACCTAAAGGACACAAGTTCAAATCTCACCGCCACCCAATTTATAAAATTTTAATGTTTGCGTGCAAGGCTTGAGCAAAAAAAATCTTGTTTGCATGTGAGGAGTGGTGTAAGAGTATAAAAACTTTCTTGTGCCTACAAGGTTGAGTTGGTTCCTTGACAAGAAAAAACTCTAACATGTTACAGGTGTATTGAAAAGGAAGATGAGAGAGATTCGCAAGTCTTACATTTTTTATTTGAAGCACTATAGTTTCCCCTTCTTTCAAACTGTAATCAACTGACGACGTTTTCTGGAATTGTTGTTCCATCTCTTCAGCAGTTTTCTTCTTATTTAGGTACCTAATTAACAATTTGGAAGCAGTCAATCAATCAAGAACAAAACGGAATGCATCACATTAATGAAGAATATAATCGCATTCCACCCTAGGAAGATGTAGTGCCAAAATATCCCACATCGGGAATTCACCCTCATATCACCCCTCGTATAAGAGGTGGACTTTCATACTCCGCATCTTATATGTAGAGGAGTTTATTTCAAATCATGATAATAGTTCATAGGGCATCTGTCCATTCAACGGTTTGAGACAGCCTGTTTGTGGTCGTTTTGGGGGATAATTCTCAACCCCTTCAGTTGTAGAATCCAATCCGAACTGAGCGGGTGAGTTGAGTACTTGAATATCTCACATCAGTTGTCGAATGTGTGTCTCATCCTTCTTCAGTACCCCAAGGTGGGGGCAGAGGGGTCCCTCATGGCCAGGGTCTTAGAACTTTAACAATATTGTTTTTGTTGGTGCATTGTTACCTAGTTTGTAGTTTGTACTTGTTGTGCTTTGGGTTTAGTTGTTAGTGCCGATGTGTGTGCTTTTTCTCTCTGTGCCTTTACTTTTTGTGTGCTATTCTGTTCACTTTGTCAGTGTTTCTATGTTTGAGCCGGGATCTCTTGGAAACACACCCTCCCCACACCCTACTTTTGTGGGATTTTACTGGGTTTGTTGTTGTTGTTGTTGTGGTGGTGGTGGTGGTGGTGTTCCTCCATGTTGGGAAATCAAATGTAAAAGAAAAAGCTACAAGAAACCATAGGGAAACATAAAATAAATATAGTGAATTGGGTGAGTATGATTACTTCATATGATCATGAAGGGCAGCTTGGAAATCATAAGCTTCGGGTCTCTCCCGGAATCCAATGCCAACAAAAGCATGCCTTAGGCGACCACCTGCACATTTGAAGATATTATTTTAAGAAAGCCAAACTAACTGCAAGTATCTACATCTCAATAAATTGATACGAAAAGACTCATTAAAGGGTATGTTTGGATACCATGAAATATTAGGAAAAAGAAAAAAAACATACTTCGTACTACAGGGATCTATTTTCTTATGTTTGGTCTTACATCCGAAAATACAAAGGAAAATGAAAGAGGAATAATGGTTTTACACACACACACACACACACATACATGTATGCATAAATGCATAAAGATTTCTTATTGAAAATAAATAAATAAATAAAATTAGTAGTTTGCCCTTTATTTTCTCTCCTTTTTATTTTTCTTTAAGTATTTCCCCGGTTCTTAACAAACCCTAATAGAGGAAGATGAACAGATATGGTTAAATGATTAGGTAATTAAGCTGAAAATTGTAAAATGATATACACAGATTATAACACTAGTAACAAAACATGGAAGCATTGTAAGTACCAATGTTCTCTTCAATCCGAAGAACAAAGTACCTGCAATGGAACAAAAAGAACACCAATTCCCTTTAGCAAAGAGCCGGGAATAATAATGGCTTAAAATCATTTATTCCAATTACACCAATCTCTCTTCACCTGCTACTATCAATCACAGGCTCTACTGGATGAGGCTCTCCATCTCGCAGAAAAGCCCGGGCATAAAGCTCACCTATTTTCAACATATCAACAATTGGGCATAACTGATACTCCCTCCGTCTCATAATTATCTTTTCCTACTTTCCTATTTGAACTGTCCAAAAAATTCTTCCACTTTCTTTTGAAGAAAAAGATTGCGTGGTCCATATTATTTCTCCTTCCTCTACTCAAACAACAACCACGCATGTTCTACTTTATTAAAAATCGTTTAAATCCCAAATAAGAAGATAACTATGAGACGAATGGAGAATCCCAAATAAGAAGATATTGATGAACACAGCAAATATTTCTAATAGATATATCATTTTTCTTTAAAGGCAACACACCAGTTGCCTTGTCTTCGAGCCTGATTATGCATTCTTCTCCTTTGCTTATAACCTTTAGTGCACCCTGCCATGCCCACTTGTTCACATCCCACTCATCAGCCCTGTATGGAATTTGGCAAACAAAACATTCAGTTTGGTAGTTAGAGAGATCCATTACGAAGGTTAAGACCTCCACAGGATCACATCACAAGAAATTGAGAATACATATTAAATACGGAGTGCAAGTAATAAGCAGTTAAAAACCTGTATGAAGCTGCACTTATTCTGGGAGGAATCTGTACAATTGCATGTAATACAAAAGTGAGACCACTTGCTGCATCTAGTTCTTATGGCAAGTACAAGAAATGATGCTAAAGTGAGGTTATAGGAAGTAACGGATACAATTGAAAATGTTTGTGACATCATAAATTTCAAGGGCATGCTTGGGGGCTAGATTTTGAAAGGGGGAGAGGGTAAGAGTCGTTTTTCTCTAAAAAATATGATATTGATATTTGATTCATGGTAATAAATAAGTGACCTGTACATTGAAATTATACTAATTTATCATTATATAAGGAGTATCCTTTAGGTTGAAGGATATTAATGTTGAAGCATTGTTCTCTTTACATTAAAAGGTCGATTTCGTAACCCCTTTCCCTTGGAAAATGTATACAGCCAATTTCGTACAAATGAAAAAACAAGTGAACAACTAAATCCATATGGAGGTAGTAATTGCATTTTCATAGTGAATGTGTCTTTATAGGTGGTGATCAGAGGTAGTAATTGCACATATTCGGATTCCTCCCTCAGAATTAGAGGCATATTAACCCTTCAGTTATATAGATTGTGTTCCAACTTTATAAATACATGGCCAACCAAACATAAAAACAGTGTAGTTAAAAGCAATTGCACCAAATTTCAATTGCAAGCACTCTATCATAACAAACTGTAAATCTCAGTCTTTAAACAGCAAAATCAATGCAGGAGGCTTCATCAAGCAGCAAAAAATAGGGCTTGAAACGGAAAAATTGAAGCGAGTCAGGCGGGCTTACCAAGTAAACATAACATTCTGATACTTGAAAGAGAATGAACTCCAATTCTTCTTCTTCATCTTCTTCGGGCTTCTGTTCAGTGTTCTTTTCTTTCTCCATATGGTCAAATCTAATCCGATCAAATATTTACAAGTTGCAGCAGAGTGCTGAATTGTGGATTGGCATGCGGTTTTAGGAGATCAGTGTGAACAAGGGGAGGGGGTCTTATTGGCCGGAATCTAAGCATGGAATTGACGAGTAAACGCTTTTTTGCTCCTTGTTCTTTTTGCAGTAATTCTTTTTTAAGTTTCAACAAATTTTACATACATGACAAAAATAGGTTCTTATCGTCAGTGTTTGTATGTGCAAAGTATGAGTACCCCCGTCTTGGCATCTTAGCATTCAATTTTTTATGTTATGTCAAAATGGTTTTTGAGACGAACAAAGAAAACCACATCTCCCAACCTCACTTTCTCTAGATCGTGATTTGGGCAATTCCAAATTGACGATCTAGGCGACACGATGCTCGGGTGGAGTGCAGGACTGGGATTTGGAGTAGGTTCGTTTTTGATGGTTTGGTTTGACCCAAAATAAAAAATAAAACAGAATGTAATTGGCATTTCAGTTCGATTCAGTTTTACGCCAAATTATGTAAATCGTTGGTTATTCAATTTGGTTTTACACGGTTTTTTATTTCGGGTTTTTTGGGTTTTAAAAATAAAAAAATTATAAGCATTGAGAAAGTTGTAACAACACTAACTTGATGAAGTAATTAAATTATGTAGGATTTGGTTTTTTTATTCGATTTTTACCCAAAACCAAACAACATGTTTGAGTTCAATTTGGTTCAGTTTTACGTTTAAAAAAATGTGTCAAATGCCCAACAAACATGTAGGAGATTTCAAATACTCCCAAAGCTTTTATATGTAAATATCAATTACCGGGAATTTACACTTTTTGGTATAATACTTTCATTTTCATTATAACATTAAAGTTTTTGAAGTAAATATGTAAATTACTCATATAAATTTTTAATATTAGTAATATACGGAGTAACTCCTTATTAAGAGTAGCTATTGATGTTCAAGTTTCTAGGTTTTTTTAAAGTTTATATTATGGTTTAAAATGTTTAATAGTTAAAAAAAATAACTTTAATCGACTAATCAGTTATTTGTATTTATAATTCTATAATTTTTTTGCATATCACATATACTCATATACATAAAGCGAAGTACTTAAGAAAATCTGGTTCATTCTGTTCTGTTCGGATCTTCAAAGTGAAAATCAAAACGGTAACCAAATAATAACGGTTCGGTTCAATTTTTTTACATTCGATTTCTGTTATTTCAGTTCCGTTTTGTTTCTAGCTTGTTTTGATCGATTTTGATTCAGTTTGCGATTTTTAATTTTTCCAACCCAGTCCTAAGTGGGACAAAGGGGTAGGGGTGGAGTGTAGGGATTGAGCAGGGGGTAGAGTGCTTATTTAACTCGAGAATGTTACCTATTTAACTCTTACTCTCTCCGTTATCAAAAACACTTCCTCTTTCATTTTTTTCACTTTCAACAAAATACTTCCCCTTTCTATTAAAAAACTACTTTTACCCTTACTTTTTCATACCCTACCTATCACATCATACTTTTTCTCTAATAATCAATCCATCACATCTTACTTTTACCCATCACATCAAGGGCAAAATTGGAAGTCAACTATAATTTTACACTTCCTTAATTTCCCTTATTTTCAAAGTGGGAAGAGTTTTCCCAAACGGAGGGAGTATTTGTTTACGGAGTATTACGGAGTAAAAAGATGGTTGAGTTTGTCTTTTGTCTTGAGTGGTAGGAATTCCTATTCATATTTCGTGTATATTGGTAACTTGATGAGAAACTGGTGTGGAAATATATAAAAGTCCGGTTTCAATATTTAGCAAAGAATTGTCAAACAAAAGCTAACGTTGCGGTGAAAAAAGCGGCAGAGACGAAATTTAATGTATCAAAATTTGACCATGTTATCACCCCATTTTCTTCTCTTATAAAAGAAGAAGACTCCTATTTCTATTCACAAATTGGTTAAATATTCTGGATTTGTGGTCATATAAGATACTACGTAGAGAATTTGTGGTCATAACGATGAATTTTTAATAACGATACATTTTTTATTATAAATTGTGTGGTTTAATGAAGAGTAACAAATACTCCATACATAGAAGGGGGAACACACTGCCAATATTTATGAATTTTATGGCATAAGAGGCATTAGATGGGAGCATAATCGTTAATTTGGAATACAATGACTAAATTGAACAGAATCGAATCAAACTTATACAAATAATCATAAAAATCATTAGGCAAATCTACAACAAAAAAGCCATTTTCAGGAGATCCCGGCTCATAGACTAGATTACTACAATAATTCTCACAAATTATAAAACTCAACATTAGAGTCTAATATCACACTCTTATATACTAATAAATAGATAGGAAAAAAATCACTTTTATACTCACATTCTGGGTTGTTAAGAGCAAGGGACAGTGGCAGTGACAGTTACGTGTCGCGGATCAGTCAAGATACTATTCACATTTACGAACCCAGTTTCTCTCATCACTCCCTCCATGTCAGTCAAGTAGTATTCGTCCAGAAAAGGCTCGGTGCTCTTCATTAATGTAAAGAGCACAGGTGGTAGTTCCTGTACATTTGAAAAGATTGAATCCAATTGATTAGCCAATTCAATCATTTTAAGGCCACTTTAATATTTGGGGGGGGGGAGAGTCTTAGCAAGATAAGAGCATCTTACCTGAAGTTTCTTTGATTTTGGCTGCAAAAAACAACAATGCAGCGTCTGTTAGGATCTATGATTATTTTAGTGGGACATATTATTGAAGCATGTGCTCTAATTTCTAGACCTTACTCTCGTAGGATTTACTGGTTCTTTTGTATTAATGAAACATCTCAAGTTCAGAATTGTGACAATTACCGAGTTGTCTGTTACAGAAAAAGTTCCTCCGGGCCTAAGCAACCGAAAAGATTCCTTCACAACATTTCGAATTGCTCTTTCGGGGCATTCGTGAAACTGCAGACCACCATCACAGGAAATAATTTGAACTTATACATGCTCAAGCAGCCAGCTATTTTACATGGCAAAGATTTTTACATCTCGAGTGAAACTTACCACATAAGAAATGGAGACAAGGTCAAATGATTGTGAGGGCAAGCCAGTGTCTTCAGCATTTGCATGAATCCAATGTATAGGTTTTAATTTTGAAGCTCTACTCTGTTCCTTAAATTGAGCGACGGAAAGAAAGTAAGGTGACAGGTCAAGTCCCTGTAAAAGAAGAATATTCAGATTCATATTCGACAAGATTTTGGAATTTGAATTTAATCCTATTGTCCACCCAATGTGTGTGTGATCTTATTTTTTATGCCAAATCGGTATGATCTAACTACATGCGGTTTGGGATAGAAACACATATGTGTCGGTAAGACATTGTGTTATACTCCATCTATGCTGAATTAAGGTTCCACAATTGATTGGACACGGTTATTAAGAAAGGTGAAACCTAGTGGTTTAAAATTATCCAAAAAGAGAGAAATGATGTAAACCATTCAATCATCATTTCTTTAAGGAAAGTGGAACTTTAACAAACAAACAAAAACGTGGAACCTTTTTCAACGACAAAGGGAGTGCTACCTAGTTGATTGAAATTAATATTTTGTGTGATTTGACTCGGGTGCATTATTTCCTACTTGAGTGACCCAATACCAACTATGGATTATATCATCTGTTTGTGTGTGTGAGTGCGTGTGTTGGGTCTCTCTACTTCCAAATAGGGGTAGGTCTGCAAACACAGACCCTCCTATCTTGTGAGATTCTAATGGATTTTTGTTGTTGTTGTAGTGTGTGTGTTGGGTCATTTGGATACTTACAGATACATTAGCAGAAGGATATCTATCAGATAGATATCTGGTGCTCACACCAATAGAGCATCCAATATCAAGAATGTCTCCAATTTCTACACCTCCGGAATATTTTTCATGATGTTTCTCAATTGTGTCGAGCCAGTTCCCACGTACAATCTGAGAAGCTTCGTCGAGTGACTTGGCATTGGGTATAGCTCGCAACTCCATCGACATTGTTGCAGGCTCCGCTTCTGCAGCTGCCTAAGGCAAGTAACGGCTCCTTACTTTCTTACGATCATTGCATCATATAGCTACTCTTATGAAGAATCAAAGTTAGGAAAGAGAAGAGTAATGAACCTAAGAACCAAACAAAATAAGGTAAAAAAAGTTACAACAATAACAAACAAACAAACCCATTAATATCCACGAAAAATAGGGTATGCGGAGGTTGTGTGTACGGTGTACCTTGTTCGGAAGTAGAAAGACTATTTCCAAGAGACTCCCGGCTTGAAGTATAAAACAAGGTAAACACAATAGCATGAACAAAGTAAGACCGACACTATCAACCAGACTCAATGCACCAAAAGCACACATCCACAAGCTACATACTAAAGTAAAAATGCACCAGCAAAACTGCAAACTAAGACCCAAAAGTCTACCCAACTACGCTTTTCCTAGATTTTCAAGTGTTCCTATCTACACTGAAGAATATTGGTCACCAGTTACCACTTACCAGCCAAGAAAGATTGCCCTCATCATAAGCATGAAAAGGACTGACATAATCTGCACAAATTAAGAAAAAAGGTTAATTAGTTCTTTGCCTGCAATACGTAAACACAGAGTGGTCAATTAAGAGAGAAGAAGATGAGATTAAAAAGAGAAACGAATGAAGAAATACGGACAGTCAGGGTACTGAATAGATTGATTTTCAATGATTTCCATCTCTTTGTAGACATCGGATTCCAGTATTCCCTTTGCCATCTCCCTCCATGGAATGTTATTCTTCTCTGCTGTGCTGTTCCCATTCAACCATAACAAATAATACAACACAATCACATGTTTTTTAACACAATCACTCAAAACCAGAAATGCTATGATCTATTGAATTCACTTATTACTTTTGCACACTGGAATTGGGAGTAAGCAGGTAAGCAATTTACCCAGTACAGAAGAAACGAAGTATATGCTTCCTAAAAATGTGATGCATTTCTGTATTTACTGCGGTAAGAGGCGAAAGAACCTGATGAAGACTTGTCTGGCGCCAAGCTTGAGCAGCGAGTAGAGAGGCTTGAAGGAAATTAGGGCTCCGACGATCCGAGAGAGTGGCGATTCTCCCGTCCACCGCGGCCTCTCCAGCTTCCCCTCCTCGTAACCCCCCAATGCCTGAGCGGCGGCGCTTCCATTTCTGGACACTGCAGCTCGGCTCGTGCCGACACCGGCGCCGCGGGTTGCTGGCAATCTTCTCTTTGATTGATGGTGGATGAAGACGTCTCTTGTGGAGGTGAAGCTGTGAGTATTGAGATTTGATGAGGGGATGCAGTACAAGGCCATTGTCATGTTGATAATTGGAAGAAAGAAATCTAATGGTGTTGCAGACTTGCTTTAATCAGTTAACCGCGGTGGAGGGGCACAACAGCACAAGCCCTACAGAATATAAGTCAATTTTGAACGAGTAGTATTAAAAAATATGTCATTTCTCAATGCAAAAAATTGCTGCTGGTACTCCTTATTTTGGGATAAAGATTGGCAGGTCTCATTGTTTTTCAAAATATACTCCGAGGTGCCTTAAGATATTCAAAAACCGACTCCGGGTGACAATCCGTCATTCCCTCCGTTAATACTCCCTCTGTCCCAAAAAGATTTACACGTTTCAAAAAAATTGTGTCCCACAATCTCTTACCCATTTCTATTAAAAAACCACTTTTACCCCTTACTTTTTCAAACCCTATCTATCACATCATACCTTTTTCCTAATAATCTACACATCACATCCTACTTTTACCCATCACATCAAGGGTATTTTTGGAAAGTCAACACAAAATTATCTCTCCCTTAATTTCAACTTTAGTCAAAATGGGTAACACTTTATGGGACGGAGGGAGTATTTCTTCTCCGTTATCCTCCTCCTCCTCCTCCCAAAAAATTGCTGCTAGGTACCTCTTATTTTGGGATAAAGACTGGCAGGTCCCATTTTTTTAAAAAACTTACTCATAGGGATTTAAAATATCCTTTGTTCAAAATATTACTTTATCGAATTAATATACAATATATGTTTTATTTAATAATAGGTCAAAAATTAAAAACAGTTGATTGAAAAAAGTCAAAACGTGACATATGCTCCGAGACAGAGATAATATTATGTACTCCCTCCGTCCTAATTCTTTCTTCCCAGTTTGACTTTTCCCATTTTTAATTTTTGGCTTTGACTTCAAATTTTACCCTCCTTAAAAAAAAATTTTTGAATTTTTTTTGCAATCATTCAAAAAATAGAGTTAGAAGATAATTGGGGTAAACACCTGAGGGTATTAACTTTTTTTAGTAGTTTTACTACTCTAAATCTTTAATTGAAAATTAATTTTAGTAATATATTTACGTATAATTTATAAAATTAAAATTATTTATTCACTTGGTTATAAATTATACGTCGTAATTCATAATAATATTAAATTTAACACTATTTTTATTGTTTCATATTATCTTTACAAGACATATTAAATTTAACACTATTTTTATTGTTTCATCTTATTCTTTTCTCAAGTCCTCTTGTTTTCTCAATTTACCAAGACACCATTACCAATGGCGACTATTAAATTGACTAATGCGGAGTACTATTTTTCTAAATAATAATGATTGTTACTCCGTATTTCTTAAAAATAGAGTAATAAAATTACTACTCTGCAATTAATTTCTAATACAGTAATAATTAAGGAAATAATAGGAAATACTCCCTCTGTCCTAAAACTATCTTCCCGCTTCCCCTTTTTCTCCGTCCTAAAACTACCTTCCCAATAGAAAAAAAATGCAAATGACATTAATACCCTCATGTATTTATACCAATTATCTTCTAGCTCTATATTTTGAATGATTGCAAAAAAAATTTCAAAAAATCTTTTTTAAGGAGGGTAAAATTTGAAGTCAAAGCCAAAAATTAAAAATGGGGAAAAGTCAAACTGGGAAGAAAGAATTAGGACGGAGGGAGTACATAATATTATCTCTGTCTCGGAGCATATGTCACGTTTTGACTTTTTTCAATCAACTGTTTTTAATTTTTGACCTATTATTAAATAAAATATATATTGTATATTAATTCAATAAAGTAATATTTTGAACAAGGGATATTTTAAATCCCTATGAGTAAGTTTTTTTAAAAAAAATGGGACCTGCCAGTCTTTATCCCAAAATAAGGGGTACCTGACAGCAATTTTTTGGGAGGAGGAGGAGGAGGATAACGGAGAAGAAATATTAACGGAGGGAATGACGGATTGTCACCCCGGAGTCAGTTTTCGAATATCTTAAGGTACCTCAAAGTATATTTTAAAAAACAATAGGACCTGCCAGTCTTTATCCCAAAATAAGGGGTACCCAGCAGCAATTTTTTGTTTCTCAATGTATTATTTAAACCTTTTTAATCTCTGAATATTCAGTATTTAATTAATGTCGGGTGATGAGAATAATGTCTAGTGATAATGGATATTTAGTTTGAACAATGTCTAATGACAACGCTGGATATTTACTTAAATAATGACTAATGAACAATGATCAGTGGTATTACATTGGAAATTAAAAATATGTTTTACTACATTGGAAAAAATCAATATGTTTTAGTATCATTTAGGTAAATTCTCCAAAATACAAGGCTCAATTCTAATTTCGAGAAATTCAGATTTATTTCAATATTACTCACTTTGTTTCATAACCAAAAAGGCTCAATTCTATTTTGTACTCCCTCCGTCCCGGAGTATTCGTCCAGTTTTGATTTTTGGAACTGTTCATCTAAGCACTTTGACTCATCAAATTCTTTCAATGTGTAAGCCTAAATATAGTCATGTGTGATCTTGTTTGATTTGTCTTAACATATAGATTATTAATATATAATTTCTATAATTTTTTAATATACAAATTACAAGATAAAATGGATTAAAGAAATGCATTGGATGGTGTGTAAAAATGAAAGTGGACAAATACTCTGGGACGGAGGTAGTATATTCAACTTTACACATATTTTTAATAGTAAATTTTATGATTAGTTGTTAATTGTGGAGTATTTTATATATTCAGTTCCATAATACGGAGTATCAGATATCACATATGTGTTCCTTCTATTATGGATATCTTTCTATTAATAATTTTTTTAATTTTATGTCATGTTAGTTTTATTATATCCAGTCACGTATTTTAATGTCGACTTGATGAAAAAATAAAATTATAAAGGCTATGGTTATGAACTACTCCGGTATGATTTTGCATAGAGATGATATCTGAAGATTATGGTTATAATGCGCCCAATGTCTAATATAGTTATAAGTTGTCAAAAATCAAACTTGGATATTATCTTCTTGCCATTTTAAAACATACATTGAAACTAAAAGCATTATTACATCCTATGTATCTACTTTTCAAAAATACGAGTATATATTTTAGAATTTTATGAATGAAAAATGTGCATGAAATATGATTAAAACATAAGTTATTTTTTAATATAGGATTTAAACTTTTTCATTCCTTAAACAAGATTTAATAATATTAGTAAGAAGAATAATATCCATTGATAGTTGATATTTACTTAAATAATGAGTAGTGGATAATAATCAATGGTCTTACATTAGGAAATAAAGACATATGATTCTATATTGAGAATGTCATTATCTTTTAATCCTAAGCTAAATTCATGAATTCCTAAACATGATAAAGCATTGATCACTCAAAGAAGAAATTTATGAATTCCTATATGTAACAAGCTCCCATGGCAATTAAGGACGTACACAAGACAACCAAATCATTTTCTTTAAAGCATGGGCAGGTTTTTGAAAATGACTTTGTAACTCAATATGTTTTTTCTCATGGAAATGGATTTTCGATTTTGTAAACCAATGTACGAAGTACGTGAAAACAAACCCACTATTTTAGTCTTTAAAAATTCTGAACTTTAGTAAGTATTTTTTTAATTTGTTTTTACTTAAAAGAGTAAATATATTATGGAGCATATTGATACATGAAAAATAACAAAATAATAATATCATTCTTTTAAATTTCAATATACTAGTTTACCCTATCATTGTAAATCTTTGTCAAACTGTCATATATTGTTTGTGATTCATCGAAGCACCGTCATCAGATCGTCAGCATTGACTGTTAAGTTGGTCTATCCATTGTTGACGAATAATTTTTCATTTTATACTCACATGCCATTAATTACAATTTTATTTAGAGAATTAAAATTAAAATATGTTTGCATTTATATTTCTCTTAAAAATACGAAAATGCTGGGAGCGCACGTATATGAAAGGTGTACCCAAAAATTGGTAGACCATAAAGTCTCTCCACCATATTCATGTGTTGAGAATTTTTTTTATGAAAAAAAAAATAACAAAGTTAGGTATAAACAAAATCGCGTATCCATTTGTACTCCAAGTAAAAAAAGACATTAAGTGTGTGATCACAAATACTTAAAGAGTTTACAGACACTTAGTGTATGTGTTTGTCACGTGTATGATTAAGTTATAATCCCTTCGTCCTAAAATGATCTTTCCACTCACTGTTCAAATGGTCAAATATTAATCATATTTTTTGTTTATGTTTGTTAGTTATTTGATAAAATAATATAATTATGTCACTTCTTATTTTGTAAAACTTTTGATCTAGTTTTAAAATATATAATTTTTATTTTTTGAATTATACACGTATGTCAAATCAATTGAATTGAAAATGATTTCAATCAAAATTCATAAACTGAATTGAAAATATCATTTTAAGAGAATACTAAGAGTATCATATAATATGACCCATAAAAAATACTCCATCCGTCCCACTCTCTTTGTCCACTTTTGACTTTTAAAACTATTCATCTAAGCTCTTTGACTCATCAAATTATCTCAATGTGTAAGCCTAAATATAGTCATGTGTGATCTTGTTTGATTTGTCTTAAGATATAGATTATTAAAATATAATTTCTATAATTTTTTAATATACAAATAACAAGATAAAATGGATTAAAGAAATGCATTGGATGGTGTGCAAAAATGAAAGTGGACAAATACTCTGGGACGGAGGTAGTATATGGTGTAGAAATAAAGGGCACCATTTAGAAATCATTACTCGTTTTGTTAAGTTTTCCCCTTTCTTTTATCCATTTTCCATCAAAGTCCAAACAAATCGGAACTGTTGTCTTCCTCCTCCACTGTTTGTGGACTCCTACAGTGCCAATCCTCCCCTGTTCACCGCGTATAAAACTTGTTATATTATCCTCCCTCTGGAACCCTCTTTTGAAACCCCTAAACTCAAAATGTCAGTTGCGGCGCCCACATCTCTCTCCGTAGCATCTTCCGCCGCCGCAGCCGCATCCCACAAAACCCTAACAAAGCCGGCCGCCGAAATCATACACTACAATCCAGGCTTCCTCTCTTCCTCCGCCGCCATGTTCAGGCCTCTCCGAGCTGGAGCTCTCCCTTCCGGTGGCCCCGTGGCTGCTGTGGCGGTCTCTGCTCCCGCCACCATCAAGTCCTCCGATTCGCTAGATTTCGAAACTTCTCTGTTTAAGAAGGAGAAAATCTCCCTTGCTGGCCACGACGAGGTATACATACACAGCCTTATGTCTGTATGTGTTGAAATGAATCCCTATGTTCTTAATATAATGATGTTGTGCTTGATTGGTGATGTGCAGTATATAGTGAGAGGAGGCAGGGATTTGTTCAACCTGTTGCCTGATGCTTTCAAGGGAATCAAGCAGATTGGAGTGATCGGTTGGGGATCACAGGTAAGATTATACCCTTTAATAGCATTTTTTAATAAGTTTCATCTGATATTAGTAATAGCTTGCTAGTTGCAGTAACAGACAAGCAATGATCTGGCCGCCAAGCTTGAGAAAGAAATAATTTTTTTTAACACTTTAATCCTAACAAACATCTAGAAGATGCTCATAAAAAGGTTAAATGTGTCATTAGACTCTCACCTCCGTTTGAACAGTTGAAATGGTTGCCTATATTCTTTACCTCAAAAGCAACATGTTCCCATAATCATCCAACATGTGCATCTGCTCCTCAACTACATTTGTGGTTTGAAGTTACGCGTAATCACCTGATTCCCTTCAAGTTTAACTTTGAGAGATTGGTTTGCTGTATGATATAATATTTCTTTATATTATTGTTGTTGACTTGTTGTGTTGGCACATTACAGGGACCTGCTCAAGCTCAAAATCTGAGGGATTCTCTCGTGGAGGCAAAATCTGATATTGTTGTCAAGGTTTTAATGCTCCTTATTCTCTCCCTTCCCTGCTAGAAAAATAAAATCTTTTATGTATTTGTCTTTGACCCGGGGTCTCTTGGAAACAACCTCTCAACTATGAAGTAGAGAGGTTGAGTACACCCACCCTCCTTAGACCCTACTTCTTTGTTAGATTTTACCGAGTTTGTCGTTGTTGTATGTATGTATCTTCTCACATTGTACATTTCTATGCCTTTGGTGTCTTTTTTGTCTAAATTATTTGGCTTTTGGGTTTCAGGGGTAGTTTACATTTTGTGAGGTGTCATTATTGTGTCTTCATGGGGTGTTTCTATTGTTGTTCTACTTATGTTGTAAGCTGCCTGTAACTCTTTCTTTTGTCCTCTCATATTTGCTCTAGCCTTACTTTTGCTCTGTTTTTTGTTCACAACTGTTTCTTTGTGTACTTTTGAGTCGGGGGTCTTTGGCAAGGTGGTAAGAGTATTAAATTTGCACATCCTTTTTGCAGATTGGCTTGAGGAAGGGTTCTCAGTCGTTTAATGAGGCTCGTGCAGCTGGATTTACTGAAGAGAATGGCACTTTAGGAGACATATGGGAGACTGTTGCTGGCAGTGATCTTGTGCTGCTCTTAATTTCAGATTCAGCTCAGGTTGGCAGTTGGCACTTACACTTTGTCATCAAATTATTTTATGGTTTATAAATTACGGAGTATATATAATCACTTAGTCCAAATGTGAAACTTTGCCTTCAACAGCTTGGTCTTGATTAATCGACGTGCCTAGGAAATACTTATGATAAGGATGCTTTCATCATGATGGTTGGTCTTGTTTATCCATGTACATGATATATTGCAGGCTGATAATTATGAGAAGGTATTCTCACACATGAAGCCTAACAGCATACTTGGGCTATCTCACGGTTTTCTTCTTGGTCATTTACAATCATTGGGCTTAGACTTCCCCAATAACATTAGTGTTATTGCTGTATGCCCGAAAGGGATGGGTCCTTCGGTAAGGAGATTGTACGTGCAAGGAAAGGAAGTCAATGGTGCTGGAATTAATTCAAGTTTTGCAGTCCATCAGGTTGGATTCTTTCTTCATCTTATGTTTCCTCTGCACTTCCGGGCCTGTTTGGATAGGGGATTTGTTGGGAAGGTCTTGGATGGCTCTGTCTATATCTTGATGTACACACACACACATTTCAAATTTTATAAAGATTGAAAGATTAACATAATATGTGATTGCATCACATTTCAATCACCTTTTATCCCTTTTATAAATATTATATTAATCAAGATATATATTAAGCACTCCAAACTCCAAAGCATGTTCCTCCAAAACTCTCCATTTGAACAGATAACTGTATTCTATTGGATATGGTGCCTTATATAATTTCATGTGCAGGATATTGACGGTAGGGCAACAAATGTTGCTCTTGGGTGGTCCGTTGCTCTTGGTTCTCCATTTACATTTGCCACTACTCTAGAGCAAGAGTATAAGAGCGACATATTTGGTGAACGAGGTGAGAACAATTCCCTTTGTAGTGAATATTTTGTTAACGAGTTTATGGTAATGGCCTAGTCTGATTTTCTGTAAATGGTCAGGCATTTTATTGGGTGCTGTTCATGGCGTTGTGGAGTCACTATTTAGAAGGTACACTGAAAATGGCATGGACGAGGAACTAGCATATAAGAATACTGTAGAGTGCATTACAGGAATCATCTCTAAAACCATATCCACAAAGGTAAATTCTTCCATTTAGATGGGTTGCTTTATTTTATTTTTCTTTCTAATTGTTTTTGCATTTTTTCTTTTCCACTTTCAATTTTAAAGATCGTTTGGTATAGGCCTTGTTTGGTAACATTGTTTTCGTCAAACATCGTTTGGTATAGGCATTTTGGATTGTTTTTTAATGGTGCAAATTAATTTGAAAATAATAAAGGTAATTAAACACTGCCATTAAATAGTTTTTCAAAACACTAAAGCCATAAATTGTTTACTTCTTGGAGGCCTGTGATCAGCTTCAAAGCTATCTTTGACTTTGAGATAATCATGTACTTTTCTCATGGTGTACTTTCTTTCTTCAAAATAGGGCATGTTGGCTGTGTACAACTCGCTGACTGATGAAGGAAAGAAAGATTTTGAAAAGGCATACAGTGCTTCATATTATCCTTGCATGGACATCTTGTACGAGTGCTATGAAGATGTAGCTGCGGGCAGTGAGATCCGAAGTGTTGTTTTGGCTGGTCGTCGCTTCTACGTAAGTTGGCCCCATTTAAATTATTTGCACAAAAACCCATACATTCATCACATTTGCATGCTCTTCATGTGTTTAGTCTCCATCAATTTATTTTATTTTTCAAATGACGTTTCAACGCGTCACGTTTCTGGTGGGTAAACGGTCCAGGAAAAGGAGGGTCTGCCGGCATTCCCAATGGGCAAAATTGACCAGACAAGGATGTGGAAGGTCGGTCAACGTGTACGTGCAGCTAGACCAGCTGGCGATCTCGGTCCCCTGAATCCTTTCACTGCTGGTGTTTATGTGGCACTTATGATGGCTCAGGTGAACTCTTTTCTTTCTCCACAAACCTCTTATTTCCCACTCAGATTCTTTTGACACTGAAGTTGGGTGTCATAGTATTACCAAACTCTACTTAGAGCCTGTTCTTTATTGCTTGAACTCTTAACTTCCAGTTCCTTCCAGTTTTTTTCAGTTTTTTCCAACATCCAGCTCTTTTTTTACAGTCCTAAAGAACAGGCCCTTATTCAACTTAATGTGACATATGTAAACTATCTTGCATCTCAGATTGAGGTTCTAAGGAAGAAAGGGCATTCGTACTCAGAGATCATAAACGAGAGCGTGATAGAGTCGGTGGATTCTCTGAACCCATTCATGCACGCGCGAGGCGTCTCATTCATGGTTGACAACTGTTCGACGACAGCGCGTCTGGGGTCGAGGAAGTGGGCCCCGCGGTTCGACTACATCCTCACCCAGCAGGCACTCGTGGCCGTGGACAATTCTGCCCCTCTCAACAAGGACCTCATTGGGAACTTCCTCTCGGATCCCGTGCACGGCGCCATTGAAGTCTGCGCTCGACTGAGACCCACCGTTGACATCTCTGTTCCGGCCGATGCTGACTTTGTGCGTCCTGAGTTGCGGCAGCAGTAAGTAGTCTTTTGCCACCCAACTGAGGGGGGGAAAACCTTGTCTTGCGAGCCAGATAGACTGTTCTTTTTTTTTTTGTTTCTATTACTACTAGTAGAGGGGTTAGTTAATAATAATAATAAGCTCGCAGTGGGTTTTTGTTCTTAAAAAAAGCTGTAAAACCTAAAATAAATTTTTGGTAAGTTTGTATCTTTACTGTATGCTCGAATCCGTAATGCTTACTTGCGATTCTTTCCAGTGTCGGGCATATTTTCAATTTAGATTGCGTTTGAAAAAGATAGAAAATGGTTTAGTTGTGGAAAATTGAAGCATTGTAAGTTTTGATTTAAGATCTACGGAGTAGTAAAAGAAATGTAGAAACTCTTTTTCTCCCAAAAGTGAAAAACATCTTCCGTATTTTTTCAAAAGTGGTATTGCTAAAGAAAAATTTGTACTAGAAAAGACTAAAACATAAGTCATTTTTTAATGTGGACTTAAATTTTTTTATTTTCTAAATAAAATTTAATAATGTCTAATGGAAGAAATAATGTCCAGTGATGATGAATATTTAGTTGAATAATGACTAATGAATAATCACCAATGATCTTGTATTGAGAAATATAAACATATGGTCCTATGTAAAGAAAATTATTATTTTTATCTCTATTTAAATTATTCATCATTCCCAAACACCCTCTCAATATGATTTAACAATTTTAATTTAAATTATTCACTTTTAGTTTAGTTAAGGGTTATAATACGAAGTATATCAAAATGAGGACTTTATTTTATTCTTAATATATTTAGAAATTCTTGTAGAATTAATAAATATTTCGAACAAGAGCTTTGTTATCCTTTCAAATTTAATCTTCCCTTCTCATACATGTTTGTTTGGACAAAAATATCACCCTTGTTTTTCTTTGTCTGAATTCAATCTTCTTAATTATTTCTAATGTGTAGACATTTTTAAGAAAGGGTATCTAAGACAAATCTATCCTATAATCAACTTCCTTTAAAAATGAGGACAAGTCAAAACAAGAAAATTAAATTTGAATGGAGGATAATTAAAAAATACAATAAACCAAGTGTTGATTGATGACAGGACCATTTTGTTTTATCTAAGGATCAATTAAAATGTGTAAAAAAAGAAATTAGTTTTATTAGTATGTAAATAATGAATGCAAATAATATTTTGAGTCAAATACGAGTAAGTAAAGACTTCCCAAAATTTATTTTTATAACAGAAATATTTCCGTTTTTCAGTTGTAAAATAAAATGCGCTGAGAAATTGAGAATGTGATCTCACCTGAGGCAAAGAGCGAGCACACACGCGATCCTCCCTATATATGCGCGTGTGATTGTGTAGTGGAATATTCCCGCGGGAAAATTCAGTTTCTCAGCGAGCTTTTTCAGCCATGGCGGACTCCGGAATAGTCGAGAAGGTGGAAAGAGGCGGAGCATCCAAAGCTAAAGAGAAACTGACGGTGGAGGAGTACCTGAACTTCATTGACAGCAACAAGCAGCTCGACCTAATCGTCGCTCATCTCAGAGAGGTCCTCCTCCTCCTCCTCCTTTCATACAATTCATCATCTTCTTCTTCATCGTAATTGCAATTTTATATATGTGCGAGCGTGCTCGCTGCAACTGGTTCTGCATTTATTCACTGCTTCTTCTCGATCGGCATTTTGTATCTGTAGAATTCCGTTCGAATTCGCCTTCATATTTTATGGTTACTGGTGTAATTATTCGAACTTTCTGCTCGATTGACGCTTGAATCTGTAATTATCAAGTGAAGTAGTTCACCGATTTGTAAAATTTTGCGATTATGAGAAATTCAGAATCGCCACTGTGTCATCGCGCGATTCACGAATTCGTTGATTTTTTTCCAGATTGTTGACATGCATGGATTCAAATCATTGCAGAAAACTTCCAAGGTAGATACAAATCCGGAATGTAATGCTCATCTAAATCTGAGATCATATCGATTTTTCAATTTTAATTCTCAAAAAATTATGTTTCCAGAACATCGTGTTAGAGGCCGTAGATTCACTGGAGCTCATAGGGCTTGGGCGGTCAACCCTGGAAGAACAGGGCGTTTCATCTCACGTGGATTTCACAGTGAAAGAGGTGATGGAGGACCTTGCTGCTCTCAAATGGCAGGAGTGCTGCGTCACTTCTCTCCAGACCTTCAACGGAGGCAACCGCGTATCCACTCAGATCCAGTTCAAGAGATATGAAGTTCAGGATCCAGATCTGGTCATCTCGAAAAACGGGACGGAGAAGAAGAAACAGAAGGCCAGTCCCGCCCTGCCGGCGGGAAGTGACGGCGATGCAGAGAAATCGGTGGGTTCGTGCTTATCGGCGATCACCGGCGGCGGAGGGAAATCCGGGAAGAAGCCTGATGGGAAGAAAAGAAAGAGAATGTTGAAGGATATACTTCAAAGCTCCGCCCACACATTTCAGGAGCAGAGCTGATACAGACAATTCTTCAACTGTTAACACTACGGCGAAGGCGGTCAGTTCAATTCCATTCTCAAACTTCTAATCTAAGCTAAAGCTTAATCCATTGCAACAGATGGAATGAAATTATAATGTGTTTCTGCATTGGAATTTCGTCTAGATTTCGTCGCTATGGAATGTTAATCACTTACTCTGCTGTAGGTTGTTAAGTCTAAGCTAATTGCACCGGTCCACAAAATACTTCTGGGTTTTGATGAGTTCTTTACTTCTTTTTTATGATCACCTACTCCTATATTTTAAAAATTATTCACCATTTATTATATTATTTTTAATATACTACATTTACATATACATAGTACATACATGTGTTTGTATAATTTGCCATCTTTTAATTTAATTTTTTATTAATTAAAATTATTTTCATTATTATTTTATTCAATGATCATTTGTTTGTATAAATTCTTTTATTATATCTACACAAATGTGTTTTTTTTTGCGGATATAGAATTGTTTCATTACTAAAAAAAACTTTTATACTACATAACAAGTGTAGTTTTTTTAAAACTCCATAAAAAATAGGTCGATATAAATTTTTAAAATTACGCACCATTTTTTTCATTCTATTAGTTTTTTTAAAACAAGGATTTATATAAGTATTAATGAATGTGCATCACTATTAAAACTTCATTTTTCAAATAAAGATATCATATCTAATACTTTGGGGCAATTATAAAATTTATACGATGTTTCATGTATTTATTAGAAAATTAGATTAAATAAAATCACATTCTAATTCAATGCAAAATTTTATTTAAATGTTAAAAATATTACGGAGTACTTGTAGAATATATGCGAAACACGAGATTGAAAATAATATCAAATATAAATGTGCTTAAAATTAAATTTTTTTGGTGGAATAACTATCACCCCTTTTAAATGATCATTGCTCCCTATTAAGGAACACATTCGGATAGAATATTAGACCATTCATAATTCTGATTTTTTTAATATTACTCCGAAATTCTGAATGTTCCTTAAAAGTTTCGTACCATAATATTCTCAAATCTAAGATATGGGTAATTTTCCCATTTCACAAGTGAAACTCTTTCGTGATCCTTAGTCTATACTCATTTTTTCTTATGCCAAAATTTGCCTTCATAGTTAAAAAAACATGCATTAAACCGCCACAGAAATGGCAATAAACTCCACAACAAAAGCGATCAGCACTAATCATTCACAATATCAAATTCAAACCATGAGAGATGATTGAAAAGTTTATAAAACGAGGATCAAACATATGAAGGTCTTGTCTGGGTTGCTGCAATGGCCTGAAAACAAAACCACCAAACACGCAGAACAAATCTTCTCAAGAATGTATAGAAGACATTCATTTTCACGGAGAGGAAAAAAAAAGGCATTGTGGTGGCAAATCAAACCACAAGTTCGCTCCCAAGTAAAAACATCAAGCAGAGCTATTGCAAAGGTACACCAACAATCAGTATGTATGATAATAATAACAGTTTAACAAACACAAACATGTCCCCACAATGAGCCCTCGAGTCCTCTCCTACCCGAAATACACATCAGAGAAGTCACTTGTCTCCTTCATTCACTGCAACCAACAAAGGGTAAGCGAGTTATTTCCAACAAGGTACTTTTGCCCATTTAAAACAAAACTTGTCACTTAATAACAAATATAAAATGCACATTCCATCCCCAAATGACATTCATAGGTTGACTCAGCATCACATTTTTATTAAACTTTTTTAGCTCTTATTTAGTCTCACCTTTACCCTCATATTAGTGGTGGGTATATTAAACAAAGGGAGAAGAAAATCCCAAACTTTTTGCTCCAAATATGGGATTGTGAACACTGAACACTTATTTAATGAAGGCCAAAAAAAGGTAAGTGTGAGTGCAATTTAGGGACAGAGTGATTATATTACAACACACCCACCTCTGCGTCATCGCCACCGCTAACTTTGTTGAGAGCTTCACCCTTAGAAGCATCTTCTGTGGAAAAAAACGGATCATAAATAAATACGTAACAGGGAAATAGAATATGAGTTGAAACCCTATTTGTAAAAAAAGTTGAGCCAAGAGCAAATTTGGCATGTTAAAAGTTGTCTGCATTGGTTGAATCAAGTAAATCAACTTAAAAAGTTACTATAAGCAAATTCAATTAATGCATTAAAAAACATGAGTACCAAATCATATGTAGTTCTTAATTACATACAATTAAGAACTTAAGATCTTTCCAACATAAGACGGGAATGCATTACCTAAGTCATCCGGGATATCAGATGTCCATAAGGTAAGATTGTCTCTTAGAAGTTGCATTATCAATGTACTGTCTTTGTAGGACTCTTCGTTCAGAGTATCCAGTTCAGAAATTGCCTCATCGAAGGCCTGCTTTGCCAGGTGGCATGCCCTAAAAATATGCATAAAAAACAAAAAGAATGCAACTTGACTTGAATAAGATCAAGAACTGGGTTCTCAAAGAAGACATGCTTGACAAGTTCAGTAATTCAAAATATTAGTGCTCAAGAGTACAATTGCAAAGAGGCAAAAGAACCTTTCAGGGGAGTTCATGATCTCATAAAAGAAAACTGAAAAATTCAAAGCCAGTCCCAGTCGTATGGGATGCGTGGGTGATAACTCAGCTTCTGCTGAAGTGGTAGCCATCTACAAGAAATTAGAGAAATAATGAGCACATACATGTGTCCAGAATTAACAATCAAACAGGAAAAGTACGAAGAAGAAACAATGAAACACAATTTTGAGACCTTTTTTAACCTTGAACCAACCTATGAGTAGACCAGTCAAATAATAAAGTTACACAATTATGAAATAAAACATCCAGTTTATAAACAATCACAACATCCTCCTTCGATATGGCAGACCAGTTTTTGTTATCACAATTTAAGTTGGAAAAATATGAAAGGATAATGAACATAGAAAATTGCATAACCTTTGAGAGTTTGTTTAGAGCTCAGAAAATACTAGGGAAAGAAAATAAGGAAGAATTTGACTCAAATCCAAGTAAATCTATGTTGGCTTACTGGCTATTCTTTTGAACTCATTGTACTTATTTATTTCTATGAAACAGACTAAAAAACTAAACCGATGTGCAAGTAATCTAAATATGGGCTACAATTTTAAAAATACCCCCAACCCCCCCCCCCCACACACACCCCGCGGTACCATTTCATACTTCTTTACCTTTTTGTCCAGCTATTTTTAATCTCATGTCATATATAAGCAGGGCCGGCCCAAAGGCCAAGAGGGCCCTGTGCAAGACTAGACTGATATTGTAGTTCTCTTATAAACTTATGCTCCTTTGTACTACATATTTACTACCTCTTTTTTGGTGTATTTGTCCAGTTTAATTTTTTTGAATCAAATTGGACAAACTTGAATTCTAATTACTTTCAATTTATATTGCATATTAACATAATGAAATACAATTTTGAAAGTTCTCAATACGATAAATCCAATAAAGTCATTTTTATTTTAAACAGGTTTATAATTAATATACAATATATATTTTATTTGATAATAGGTCGAAGGTTGAAAACATTTAACTAAAAAAAGTCAAAACTAAACAAATTCTCTGAGACGAAAGTAATAGTCATTAGAACTCAAAAAAATTGACATGAAATGCTTTTTATAATAGCAATATAAATGATAAAAATCAGTATTTTTACAAAAAAATCAGTATATAAATGATCAATTAATTTCACAAAATTAATTTTAAAATTTTCCAAAAGTCAAAAAAACTAAGTAAAAAATCTTATATTTAAATTAAAATAAATATCAAACAAAGTTTAACTCCGTACTTATAGTCCTATACATATACTATAATAGATAAGATTCTATAAAAAGATAAGAGGAAAATGAATTATAGCAAAGAAATTAAAACTAGAATCAAAATTGGAACATTGGTAAGAGTTTAGGAAATTCTAAACTTAAAAACTAGAAAGAAAAAAAAACTATTGGAGATGAAGGGTGGCACAGGGACTGTGGAAAAATTTGGGCCCTCCATTATTGTTGGGCCCTGTGCAGTCGCTCAGCTTGAACATGCTGAAGGCCGGCCCTGTATATAAGTACCAAGTGGTAGTTGTGTAGTTAACATTCAATCTTGTTTCTTACTTTTTTAGATCAGTATTAACAACTCATATTCACTTTTCTTAATTTGCATACCACTGCCACTATCTCATGTCCCAAAAAATAGTGGAATAGACGGAGTAATTTTTTTGTTTTATTTGCATTTTTTATGATTATACCACTTCCATCTCATAAAAAGAACTTGCAAATTTATTTCGCCTACACCAAAAAAATATTCTACTTTCCATTTATGAAAACTTTTTAAGACTCATATTATTTCTCTCCATAACACTACTTCCAACCACACAATTTCAATTTTCTTAATAACCATGCCGAATCCATTGTGGGACCTTTTTGCGGGACATAAAGAGTAACAAACACAATAAGATAATATTTCTAGACATTTGTAGAATTTGGATTCCCCCCTTCCCGAGAATTTCCCATGATCCAAACATATCCTAAAAGAGAAAGCGATAATATTTATACCTCATATGCTTTCAGAGAAAGATCAGCCACCTCTTTTTTGTCGTTACCAGTTTTGAACTCGGCAAGATACCTATAGTAATCTCCTTTCCTGGAATTAAAAGGATAAGTTGAACAAATCAAAGTTCAAAAACTATTAAAAAAATTAGAAGTAATAATAGCTCAAAAAAATGGCATGTTCCCCTCACATCTTGTAGTAAAACACAGTTGACTCTCCGGCAGAAGATGCCGGGATGAGATGCTCATCAATCACAGTCATGATGTCACCACAAATGTTGGAGAGCTCAGTTTCTACCTTCTGCCTGTACTCCTTGATCCTCTTCACATTCTGCTCATTCCCTCTTGACTCTTCCTTCTGCTCAATGGAAGACAGAATCCTCCAAGATGCCCTCCGGGCTCCAACCACATTTTTGTACCCAACCGATAGTAGATTCCTCTCCTCTACTGTCAACTCTACGCCAGTTTTTGCCACACTCTTCATGGCATCTACCATCTCTGCCATTATTGAGTACCATAGTTCATATTGAGTCGCATTAGATTAAGGAGGTA